GGAGGAAAGAGACGCCGTTTTGCTGAGTTGGACTTCCACAGACGACCACAAAATGCTTTTCTGCATATTCTCCGTGGATGCTTTTAAAGACGCCAGTCTTAGTTAGTCAAGCTAGGCTGAGGACAGTGGGCAACTACCGCTTCCTTACTCGCATCAGGCCAGTCTAGAAGATAATTTTGCTATACACGACAACTTTGATGCACCAGTGAGTGGACACTGCAAAAAACACAAAAGTAGACATAGAGCAGAGTATAATGACAACAAAGTAGCCGTAAATACGGCGAACAGATAACGACAGTCGAAACCCTTCAATTCTGTCACCGTCTTGGTGTTGTGAAAAAGGCTTGTTTTTTGACAGAACACTCTGGAAAGGCACCGTAATCTTAGACAAAATAACTGCTTATATCTTCATGTATTGCTGGGATCGGTCTCCTGATTGCATAGTTCACATTTGACCTTGGGCCAGACGCCACATAGAAGAGCGAACTGGACTCTTCTCATCCCGCGAACACAGCCACTGCGAAGTACAACGAAATCGCAAAGCAATTCAGCAACCCAAAAGTATTTGCTCATGTATTACACGAAGGTTTCGGTGACGTGCTGTTAAAAAACATCTCCCACTAACGCCAGAGAAAAAAAATCCACCTGACGACATTCATAGATTTCGAAGAATGATAAATAGTCTGAACCGAAGAAGAAGAAGAAGAAGAAGAAGGCTGGTCGACCACCGGAACATTCTGTTTATTGCTATAACGGGAACATAGTTCAAAGTCAAAATTGCGGATACTGAGATTTCGACATAGGGTAACCAGCTCTTTCGCATAAAACGTCAAAATTAGACAGGGCGGTAAGGTATTCGTATATTAAAGGGCGAGAATTTCGACAGTTAAATAAGCCCACACCCTCTCCCTTGAATATTAATCAGTCGAGCAAAGGTAAAGAAGAGTAACGTACAAGATCTATAAGTCCAGAGTTTACAGACCACCAGAACCTCCGAGAGCAGCTGACAAATCCCTCCTCCATTTGATCAAGGAGTAGCTGGACACCAAGAGGTTCTTATTGCTGGAGATTTCAACGTGCCTGCAATTGACTGGGAAACTCTGGCACTGGGCAGTGGGCCAACTTCCTTCAGCCGTAAGCTAATGAACCTCATACGACCTCCCCCGATATAAAATGTAAAGACCCCAACGAAGTTTAAACTGAACCGGAGAGTCAATTACTTGGACCTAATTTCTACAAAAGACTTCTCTAACATTGTCGAAGTGTATTCCAGTAAATCTCTTGGTAAGAGTGACCATACTACGCTACTGCGGGATAACTCAGTCTTCTTGCAACGCCAGAAAAGAACGGGAGGTCAATAAAGTATATGGGAGGCAGATTGTAACATTATTAAGAACGAATTGATACGTGTGATTTGGGACTGTATTCTCAAGGGAGAGCAAAAGGACAACAGGAAATTGCCTAAGATGATTTCACTAGATCTTATTCGGTGCTGTTGTTCAACGAGTGTACAAAAAACAACGTGTAGACCTGTCTGGTTAACTAGGGATCTGAATGGACAGTTGAGGAAGAAAAATTAAGGACGGTTGATAGCCGGGAAAACTGGGCCACCAGAACATCTTGAGGAGTTTCATCATCAACGAAATGCGGTCAAGAATTGCATCCGTCTGGCAAGGAAGGACTGTAAATCCAGAAATATCCATTAGGCTGAATAAAAGCCTAGAAATTCATTCCATTATATAAACAGTTCGACTGAAAACAAGGAGCCGTTCGAAGTACTGAAGGATGACAGTGGTACAGAAGTCGATCAAAACTGTGAGAAAACTGAGTACCTGGGACGGTTCATTGTTTTGGTGTTCACCAGGAAAACGTAGTTTCAGACTCATGATGTCAGCAGTGCTGCTGAGACCGCCGGTCCCATGCTTGAAACTATACACTTCCTGGCCTCTGTTGTGAAAAGAAAGCCGCAGAATCTCGAAGAAGCAAAGTCGTCGGGTCCGGTCAACATACATGCCAAATTCTTGATGCGTCATATGCGGAAAGAACTTCCTAACAAAACAATATGTGTGGACGGCAACCTTCAAGAACTATGGACAGTTAATGGCTTGAATGGCTATTAAATGCGGAGATCTGCCAGTCTGGCGGTCTAGTATGGACACCATCAGCATCACGGTGTTCTTCAACATTGCGAAGGGTGTTTTTGATTACAACGACACCCACCGCCGCCGACTGGATACCAAATGTTTATATGACAATGCTCCTGTCCATCGTTCTAATGAGGTACGAATCTAACAACGCTTTCAACCGAAATCTGACGTTTTAACAGCAGCGAACCTCTCCGTATGTGGCCTGCAGTCAATTTTTATCCCTGCATACTGACCGGCTCTCAGTCCTATCGAGAATCTTTTCACACTTATCAAAAGACATGGGCATAAGGCGAATAAAAAACTTTCAATGCAAGAAAAGCTTGAATTTGTGCTGGGTAATCACATTTAACAATCCGCCACAGGCAGCTTGGCTATCTCAAGGTCTGAGAGATTTTCAGCTGCGATAAATGAAAACAGACAATCAACAAAGTAATAATTTTTGTTCTTGTTATTATTTTTCATTATTTTCCTCATAACATGCGTCCACTTTATTATGCACCAGCGTAGTTAGCCCTATTTAAACGATTTGAAATATAGTTTTTTTTCTGAACGTCTAGTTTTTAGTGAAAATTAATTATTTTTACCTTCATAGACATTAATTTATGAACCAAAGTATGCCTTCTTCTTAAGAACAGTCGTTTTTTTACAACAGGAAGACATTAGGGAACTCAGTTTGGGCACAACTACAGGCGAACAAACTTGTAAACGGTCTTATAACCCTGTCGCATACAAAAATATTGTCCCAACTTAATTTTCCCTCTATCCTATAGGCAGATGGGATATAACCTGTTATGGAGATTCCGCATTATCTGAAGGCACGACTGTTCACTTAAATCCGACGATTTCCTTGAGTTCACAAACATGAGTCACCTGTGCGGTCCTCTGCACGAGGACAAACGGGAGCGTATGCGCATTGATCATCGAAATTTTTCATTCAGTCTACGTGTAGTTCGACCGTGGATCTCACTCTCAAGTGAAATAACGACATCTGACATAATGTTTTTACTCAAAAGGCAGTTGGATCGTCTAATTTTTGATAAACGACGACACTCACTGAGGCCAGGCATTAAGGTTTATTTCTTGGCTTCGGTTCCTACATAATGCATCTCTGCACGTTTGATGCAATTTTCGTCAGAAAACTACAAACATGACTAAATTTTGCACTGATTGTATATAATTGCACTTATAACCCAAAATGTACACAAAAAATAGCATTTGCTGCTCGGCCCGTAACTGTCAAAAAACTGCTGGCATTCGGGGTGCAGTCCCACCCCGCCAAAACATTATCCCGTAAATGAATATGTTACTGTCAAAATTCAGTATAATTCAGAATATATGAGGGATAGAGGCAGAGCCTTGGAAAACCCTATTGACAGATAGACGTAGGAAAAAAAGATGCAGATATTTACATAGCAGTTATGCCAGTCATTGATATCATGTAAATGTTTGACCATCAAGCATAAGTTTATCTAGTTTTCTTTTGAAAGTCTCGACATTTTCCGCTTAGATAAAGGAGTTTGACAATTTGTTCCATCCCTCAACCAGCCGGTGAGAGAAGAATTTGGCCCCCAAATCGAGTCTGGCAAGTTTCGTCTTCAATTTGTATGGGTGCCCTCGGAGATTTGTCGTCCGCGCCAGTTCGAAGAAGTCGTCAAACTGAAGAGCACAGTCTAGCCCTCGGACGATTCTGAAGGCCATGATCATGTCCCCTCTGTACTGTCTATAAGAGAGAGGAAATATTTTTAGCTTCTCCAGCAGTCTCTCATAAGGCAAGCCACATAATCCGCCGACTAGCCTGGTCGCTCTACGTTGTACGTTCTCCAGTAGGGTTTTATCTTTTTTTGTCCAGGGACACCATGCCTAGACGCAATATTCCAACATTGGTCGAACGCTTGCGCCAAATACTCGGCCGAAAAGTTCTTCATCAAAATTGACGAAGGATCTTCTAATCGCGCCTAGAATACCCATAGCTTTTTTGATACCTTGGCGCAGTGAGACGATGGTTTGAGAGTTGACGTCATCCACACACCGAGGTCCCTCAACTCGTTGACTGATTCAAGTTGGTGACCTCCTATAAAGTACTGAGATTCAAATCTCAACGGCCTCCTGTTGCTCGAACGTAATCGGATAAGTTGGCATTAGTTACGATTGAGGCTAAGACACCACACATCTTAGCAACCTGTTTCGCTAACATTACTGTTATATGCACCGTTCCCTATATGGTCGTCAAGGGCATCGCCTACTTCCGTAAAAATATACTATACCATACAATATTATACAAAATGCCGCAATATGATGCGCGGTATGTGTGGATGAATGCAGAAAGTTATCTGCTTTCAGGAAAACAATATTAATCAGGGAGCTCAGCCCCATGACTCGCCGTACGCTCCGCATGAGATGAATGTTAATTTGATGGTTATATTATTCCTGCTGGACTTAGTAGTCTTTGGAGGCGTCGCTATTGAAATTTGGCAAATACAGCGCATTCTCGTAAGCGCCACTTACCTGCCTGAACACGCTTGAAATCTAAAAAACGATACGACTCCCCTGCCTAGGTATCTGCTTAACCTAATTTCTCTATGTATTTCCTCGTGCTGTTCCTCTCGCTCCTATGATTTGAATAATTTCACATTGCATATGCTCTTCACACCAACTCTTCTTTTCTAATCTTTCACAACATGGTCAGTGCTTAGTTTGCGTTATGCACTCCTAACTATCTTGACAAATATAGCATAATATACAGGATCTCTTAGTCTTTGACTTGAGGTAGGGAATACAATTATGCTGTGTGATGACTTTAAATTGATGCATGGCTTTTCCGTGGTTTTAAAACCCTCGAGAAGACCTTCGGAGATGCCGTTACCACAAAAAGTGGTACAATGGTTTGATGAAATAAGGATTCTGGATGGTGGTTTCGGCACGGAAGCAGCAATTCGATCTGATTATGAGATTGATGCACATAAGGCTTGGAGTTGCTTGTTACTTCAAAATGATCCTTCTCTTGTAGTGGACATACATAAAAGGTTTGAATTATTGTTCATATTAAATATGTCAAAAGACTTTCTTAAAATTTTACATTTTCGTCGCGCCTTATGTGCCGGGGCGGTATCGGCTGGGGAATGGTTTGAGATAATTCCATAAGTTAAGCTTAGTCTGACTAGTCAGACTAATTTGACTGAATTTGAATTCAATCATTTATCAAAAGACAAGCAAAGTATATAGTACTTAACTGTACGGTCAACTAATTAGTAATACCTATGGCGTCGTCATTTTTTTTCAAATGGTATATAGCAGTTTCGGTCAAAATCATTTTGAACCGATAAGTACATTGGATCCTAAAAATTGGCTTGACTATGGCTAGCCGAGACCATACTAACGCACATTTAACCTGCTGTGTCTCCAGGTTCAATTTTTGTTGTCGCACTTCGTCATTTCATGCAGATCCAGCATCGGCTGTGCAATTCCTATCAGTCGTGCAAGCATTTGGCGAAAATACAAACAAAAATTTCGACAACCGCTGTCTACGCTAACTTGAACAACCGAATATATAGCGTTTGTGGCAATGAACGCTCCATACATTGCCCTTTACCCGGCTATTATATTTTAAGGCTGGCATTACTAATATAATTTTCTTGAATTTCAACCTCGTTTGGAGGTTGACTTCATCTTGTCGAATCACAGTATGTCACCTACCGCCGTAAATCTTAGGAGGCTCTTGTGTTATCGGGTTTACTAGACAAACTGAATAAGTAGCGGCTGTAGGTCAGGGAATCGCTCGTATCCACAACACCGGCCCTTGACAAGCCTGGACAAAGTGTGCTGGCAAGAGCCTTTGGGTAATCCAAAAAGCAGAACGGAGGTTATGTCGAGCGAATTACTAGAGGTACGGTCTCCTGTAGTTTATAATTTCGCGTAGATAGTTTCATTTATCACTCGTGCTGGGCATCAGGTGAAGCCTTGGTTGTATGACGAGCAAAATTTGCTTGCCTTAGAGCCCCTGCGACATGATCTCTTCAGGGGTAGCAGATTCGACAGTTCCATGCCCGGCAAAGTTGGAAGGTATTACCATAGCGTGATCTACCACTGCTTATTCGTTTAACCCAGACGCCTGTCCTTTCACAATTGCCCTTCACTAGTAGCCGATCCACCATTCCCAAATAACTTACAGCTAGGCTGACATTGATAATCATTCAGGATTCCTATTTTCCTGGAACAGTATGAGTAGACTAGACGTCTCCTAGGCATAACATCCCTGATGGTATACTGGCAGGCAGGGGGGAAAAGGGATTAGAGGCAGCTTCTTTCGTTCGCTGCGTGGTTATTAATTTCGCAGTTGAGCCTAGTGAAGAACATTATTAGAAATCAGTCAGAAACCAATAGTTGCACCAAATGTAGGGCCATTTGCTCTAAATTTTGTTTCAACATGAAAGGTCCCTTTGAAGTCATTCCACGACCATTAGTTTGTTTTCCTGTCGATATTTCTGACGAACCAACGTCTTGCATGCGCGCGTCGTTATATAGAGCGGACGCTACCATCCAGGTGAAACAAACTAACGTCACTTTGCTGCATCTCTTGCATTACTTGTTTCTGTGTGTAGGCTGCTCATAGAGTCTTTATGGACACCAGCAGGCCATCTGCTAACCCAACATTCCGTCCCTCGTTCATATATTCAAATCTTAAAGCGAACGTTGGTTTTGTTGAAAATTTAATAAACTGATAGTCAAATACCTCCTACAAGACAGTCAGATGGACTGTCCAAACCCCTGCCCGCCAGTACAGACGGTTTCGAAACGCTCAGTACGAAGGCCTGCTAGCACTCCTCGCCAGTCTTTCGCACCTAACGAACCCGAAATACTCTCCAAAAGACTTTAGCCTTAGCCCTCTGCCCCTTCAAAAGACGCCGCACCCCGCCGACGTGCTCATGGTTTTGCGTTCTCCCTGTCCTCGGCGTCCCCACGATGATACATGACTTCTGAATGCCTTGAAAATTCACGGGTACTACTTAATCCTTCAAGGGGGCCTCCCACTGTTCTTCAAGAAACTCGGAATGCCTATTGCCGCTATTCAACGAAATGCAAGCCCAGTAAAGCCTGTGATTAGGGGGGGGGAAGAATCCATCTGAGGTAAATATGCCTTTTGCTCGGATTTATCGCCTGGGAGTCGTGTTTTCGTCACCATCGGCAGTTGACATCTCAGGTACTTTAAACAAGTCCATGTCAATTCTGGACTGGAAATATATCACTACTATTTGATTTATTCTCCGATGTCTCACGCTTACGCTCGCCACACTAGCTATAAGTGCTTCTAAAATGGAAAAAAATTCCATTTGGTGCCTGCGCGGTTATTTCAATTTCGAGATAGAACTGGATTTTTGATGTTTTGTTTGCATCCTCCGACCTTACCCCGGACATAACTTCCAGTAAAGTGATTATTTGGCTTTAAAATTCCAATATCTTCGTCATACAATCACACAGCGTCTTAGAAGACCCACCCACCTTATTAAATCCAGACGCTTCCAAAGTTATTGAAACAACCTCCTCACTTCAACGTCTACTTCTACGTCTATAGTATTTGGTTTTTTGCCCGACTAACAATCAACCAAGTGGTATTTGCAAGTGTGCAGACCTGATTATGGTTTGCTGAAATGGTCATTCGCTCATACTAAACCATTTAATTTAAAAAAAAGTTACCTACGTTCCGGCTGCGACGTCATCTCGACAAACACTTACCAAGCTGCCCCACGGACGCTTGCTGAGGCTCTCAACGTGGAGGTCGTGGTTGCCGAAGCCCTGATGAAAAAGGCTGTAAGCCTGGCCAGACGTGCAGTTGAGGAATTTTGGAAGGAATACAAAGAGTTCTTACGCAAGGAGGAGGCAGCACCACAGACGGTTGTGCGGCTCTATCCCCTGATTGCTGGTTCCCTTGGTCCCTACGCAATACTTTTGGTAAGCGTCTTAACTCGCTGGAGTCATAGAACAGTTAGAATCACAATCTTTTTTATTATGACCCATAACTGCCTTACTTCTCACAAGCGCAGTAGTAAGTAATGAGAGCGAAATATCGGCGGTTTATTACCCAAAATGCCGTCCTTGTTTAACCAATAAAGCAAGTGCTGTTTTTCCTTCGAGCTTTTAGTCTTTGCAATCCACATTCCACACTAAGTCTGCGCCAGATCTTGCGGTGCTGTGTCAGAGGCAGGGTCGCAAACTGAACAACCTGTTTTAAGTTCTAATCGTATGGGAGCTCGCTGGCTAAGAACTTTGTAGTCGAGTAACCAGCACGCCCAATGTCCATTCAATCCTCTTTTGATTTTTAAATTTAGCACGACGGATCTGAATACACGGGAGCGTACGCAGATCACATAAGCCTCGAGGAGCTCATCAAATTTCATCTCGAGCGCGCTAAGATACTCGTGTCAGCCGGAGTTGATTTACTCGCCTGGGAGACCATTCCTGCCCTCATCGAAGTACAAGCCATTGCGGAGGTGATGCGTCAACTACCTCAAGATACTGTTGCTTGGTTGTCAGTGTCGACCTCCGATGGACAGACAACCGCACACGGCGAGCCTTTGCATAAGGTGGCGGCCATTGTAAACTCATGTGACTCGGTAAGATGCGAGTTCTGTTTCCAGGAATGTTGCCGCACTTATCTTCACTCATAGTGCATCTGGATCTGACAAAGGATGGCAGTTGTATTTTAACCAACAGTTATTGTGAAGTACATAAAATAAGGATTAAGGACAGGAGAAATATGAGCACTCTGCCTCAAACGATTGCATATTCCGTTGGAAATTTCCGGTTCTCTGCTGGACAGCATGCGGTGAAACCCATGACGCATTGGCTGAAAAGTTTGACTAGAAAGAATTACTTAAGTAAAGTCGCAACAGTGATTAGAGTACAATGTGACTTCAGAGTATTTCACACACACACTAGGAATGACGGCCTTCGGTCGAGCATTTTCCCGGCATTCGAAAAAATCCCGTTAACGTGACTGCTGAGCAGTGCACAGTTCGCCGGCCAGTAATGCGTCACCATCACACCAATTCTTTCTAGATGAAATCACATTTTGGAATTTGTCTTACGGGTTTCGCTGCTTCATGTATTATCCTTGACGGCCTTGAGTAGAAACCGCTTCCACGGGGGACCGACGGCAGCCCTAGCTACATCACCGTTATTGCCAGATTTGAGTTCGGTGGCTCAGGTTCGAATGATATGCATGCCACGGCCGTGCACTGTTTACGGCAAATGCGAGCCGAGACGTTCGAATAATTTACAGCTTAATTACTGCAGCACAAGAAGGCAACGGGAGCGGATTTCGTTTTCCTCCAATCCTGTAGTCTTTCCAAGTCTTGAATAACGTGCCAGAAAGGCACTGGAAATTCCAATAACTTTGAAGATTAAAGAGGGACGTAGTCTAAGAAGACTGAAATAATTGTTGCGTCAGCCTCCCTTGTCGACTATAGCTTCCCAACTGTTTTACGGGCGGGTATGTGATCACCAGCGCTTGATTCCTATTGCTGATGACAGACATTTCTCTGTACCAGATAGCCAAACGGAGTTATTTTCACACCTTGTTACGCCTGGCAGTCGCGTCTCTGTAGATATCCCACCGCACCACACATAGGATTAAGGTTGCTGAAGTAGTCGATTTGTCAATCAGCGGATAAATCAAACATTTCTTTCTCCGTCTCGCCCATCCCCCAAGATAATTGGCATTGGCGTGAACTGTTTCATCCCTCACGAATTAATTGGTCAGGCGCTTGCGAATGTAGGTGGACTGGAGACCCTTCGCGACACGGTTCCTGGCAGTGACGATGGCTACCACCCACACAGTGAGGCCCTTCAACTCAACGGGAAGCAATCAAAAATCCTCATTGCTTACCCGAACAGTGGCGAAATCTGGCTTAAGACACCGCTCCGGTCCTCCGGTGAGAGGCGCAAAAAACAGCGTGAACGCCCCCAACCTCTCGGTCACTGGGTGTGGCCCAATAACTTCAGTCAGGGCGACTGGGCCCGTTCTGTGTCAAAGTGGTCTGTAACCCAGGCCATGTTGGAACAAGAGAAACAGCCCGTCTCCCCCAACGAGCTTGCCCGCCGCTACGGGCTGGCTCAGTGGGTAGGTGGTTGTTGCCGAGTAAGGCCGGAAAACATTCGCGAACTGGTGCAACTGATCAAGTCCCCGGGCGGCGGCTCTTACCAACAGCACCCTACTTCAGGCCATGAGGATTTGCAGAAGAGGGAGACCTCAGAAAATCTTCAGAGTGAGGAGGAACCCACACCTAGTACCAGTGGTGGAACGGAAGCACAGACACACGTTGTCGAAGGACGACGGCGAAGGAACCCAGAAAGCCCTCTACCTGGTCCGGTGAAGAGGTCAAGATCAAAAACAGAAAGAGGCAGAAAGTGAAAACTGTACTTATAAGAAAAAAATGAAGACAGACTGCTGTGCTGAGAAGCTGACTCTTTTCATGTGCATGGGCGGATTTTTAGAGTTCCTCTAACGTGATACTGCCACCGAGGAGGCAGCATTCGCTCGCCAGGAGGGGATTCTTTGGTCGCCGATACAGTATACCGCCACTTTGGTACGCAAATCTGTGCGGTTAGAGTGATTTTTGGGGTGAGGGGGGTCTGGAGTCAAGGAAAAAGGTGTCGCACAAACAGCAGATAAGCGCCAAGAGTATAAAGTGCAGAATTGGCCCTTTTGTACGCAATTTCTTGTCAACTACCTAAGTACCCACTCTACCCTTTAAGGGGTTCCGCGAGAAACAGGGAACTGCAATGGGAGGATCAGGAGGCATTTTCTATTTTATGGCATAGCAATATAACGCTGACTCCTGACGCTCCAATATGGCCGGGTAAAGATGGAAAATAAGTCAAAAAATCATTGAGGCCACCCTCACTTTCGTCGGCAACGATTATCGAATGTTAATTGTTCGTCACTAGCCCGTCACCCGCATTCAAAACTGACCGGTGGATGTCACTCTGACGTGCCTTTAGGGTTAAAGCGGCTTTTCCACATTGTCTGCTCAATTTCCTAATTGGAACAAACACCGTGGAAGCCTTTTTAATTGCGGTGGTTAGTTAACCTAAGTAGGCCCCAAATAGAATGGCGGAGATGCAGACGGAGCTTCTGTCGCTGCCCGTTGTCAGTAGCGTTCTCTCACCCGACCCTGGATTTGAACTCGTGATTACAAGGGACTGTCTTTTCAACGCGTGTTCGGCCTGTATTATGGCCAGTGGATTGCCCCCTGTGCTCACAGAATGCTACCATACATAAAGGGACATAACGCAGTGTGCTTTTGAGAAGAAGGTAAGGAGAACCACTACATTTATTCCACAGTAGTGATACCCATAGAAGCTCCACTTGCAAACTCTGCCTCAGGAAGCTGATTAGTTGGCCACGTTCACGCCTCCACCCTTTAGTTCAACTAATAACCTGACCTATACTTACGCTAGCCTGGACTCCTACGTGTACTGTTTCCAAAGATCCTTGGGGTGTCCCTAAAATATCGGCACTATTATTGCTGAAAGTTGGGAGATCAAGAGGTAGTAAGCAGTAACCAAGTGGTATTCGTACCCCTTTTAAGGCATAAAACCGAATCAATCTTCCTGGACTGGAGCCCAATCAGTAGGCGGCTGTGCCCATGTGGCCTACTATCTTAGCTGGAGTCTGCTGTAGACAATTTCCATTTACCATCCTGAAGCATCCTCCCACAGGCTTCAGTATGGACACTGAGGGCGAGATGCAGCCTTTGCTCGCCTCTTCCAACAAGGTAGACATTCCAATACCTTTGCGGTGATTAGTCATCTCAAATTTCGGATGGGCTGACTCTCAATGAGAGAAATGGGTGAGTAGCTTGCCTGCTGCTTGTTAATAATGATTGGAAGCCAGTAACTGGCACCTCCGTAGTTATGCATGTCACCGGTTTCTCTTATCGAAAGAAACATTTCAGCGCAAGAAAATGCATCGCATCCGGAAACGTCACGCCGTATAATGCACTAATTACAGACTAAGGCGTAGCAGAGAGATAAGGTGTTTTAAAAGTATGTGAAAACAGCAGCCTTGTGTTGGGCATGCTATTTTATCGGCCTGTTTTGCCTTTACAGCATCCGGGCATCCGTCCGTGGCACAGCTTTTAGGTGCCGTTAAGGAGGGCGACAAGACGGTATATGAGAACCATAGCGTCATTAGCACAAACAGGCAGCCAGTCAGAGAAGGAGGTTCATAGCATTTTGAGTTTTCGCGGGCGCCTTCTAGGCTGAGCAATGTCAGAGGGCAGCAAATCCGCGGGAAACGGGAAGTTTTTGACCCTGTCCTGGATGCATTGGTCGTTTTTACACGGAGAAAGTTACCGGTCCGCGTGTAAAAATTACGGCTTTAAATATCAGGGCCCGCGCCTGAATGTTCCTTAGTATGATGCAGATTTACCGAAATAAATACGAAAAAAAGATTTCAAAATGGTGAGACAAAATATGAAACTTTTGAATGAGGTGACAAAATTTGGCCGAGCCTACACCATCCGAGTTTGGTGGCGGTTTATGGCTACACTCAACGTAGGAAGGAATGTCAAAATGCAAGATCCACATGCGATCTTCAGTTTGCAAATGAGGGCTCAGGATCAAAAGTTGACAATCAGAGCCTCATAAAGTAAGATTCGCAGGCTTTGCCTTAAATTACTAAGGTCGACAAGCTCCAAATGGTAAACTGATTCGAGATCCCTTTCAAACAAGTAAATGCGAGTTTCGCGCTTCACACAAGGGGCCGTCAGGGACGGAGAATTTCCGGGGTTATTCCAATCAGTATTTGACTGGAGATAGGAATAATTGCCTTCTAAAGTGACAACCATGGAGTGTTCGGCCAGAAGTGCTAAGGGATTCATCCAAAGACCCCCTGGCGTTGGCTTTAGCACTTAGACCATTCTCAGAGTGCTACCGCCACGAGGTCTAACTGCAAGCAAGACAATCTAATGGTCGGCGTTTCGACCCTTGGCAAATAAAGTAAAAGCCCCTTAGGCTCCGCATACGGCATATACCCCAGTCATACACCTAGACCTGGGTAATAGTGGTGAAATATTGGTGGCCCACTGGTTGGCAACCGAATGATGGTAAAGGATACGGTAAGCGGGCGACCCAGAGGTACCCGTTGTCGAGGTAGACGTAGCCGGCCTGAGGTCCCGACCTTCTTCCTGCAGGTGGGGCTCGGACAGCACTCCGAGACGGTGTCTCTGAATTATCCGACAGGCTGCCATCGGCGTTCTCGCTGCGCTCCACCGGTAGACCTCCTCCCTCCTGCATCAGGGTCCTTGAGCTTTTGGGCTGATCCACGTCCATCTAGGGGGAAAAACGGTGACCGGAGAGTGAGAAGTGATTTGGTGGAGGAAAAAAGAGGTGGACACTTGCGGTCAAGTTGTGGTCTGACCATTGGAACCAATTGCTCACTCTCATATCACAACGAAGGGGGGGGGGCACGGGAATATGAACCCTCCGTATTGCAGGTGGCCTTGTGCTAAATTCAAGGGAGGATTAGGGTTAGCGGTAGGGTATCCTCGGAATTTAGCGCAGGGCCACCTATATTACGGCAGGTCTTTATCCACATGTCTGGCCAACGAAGGAACAAATAGAGTAACATAATGATTTCATTGCATAAAAACAAAGGCACCAAGGGGGTATGTGATCACATCTTTCCTAAAAATCTACCGATCGTTAATTGTCCAAAAAGTCCACTGTCCCGAGATGCCACTTAGTGTAGTTTTAAAAGAGGTATGCAGTGATAACGTTCGATGAGTACATTGGACAAGAAAAGCTCCTCACCAAAATAAACGATGACGAACAATAATTGAGGGAAAGTAAAGTCCAAAGCAAAAACAATGACAAAGCCAGGTTGCGTCGGACTATTGGTGTAGGCTCGTGATTGCAAAACTTTCTGCAATGAAGTCCCATACGATATTTTGGGGTATACGGCGGTTTGTGCAGGAATTGATGGGACTGCGGCATTGAAGCATACTTTAAGAATACCTTATAACTTCTAAAGGACAGTCTAGATTTGATCATAGAACCTAGTTGACTAAGTAGGATGCGTAGGGGAAACCAATTTGACAATACAGCGACAGCGGGGGACACGATTTCTTTAGATTGGTTTTCAAACCGACTGAATTTGTGTGCATTATCCCTCCTCATTCATTTTACCAACATAACGTCAACATCCTCTAAGGTTATAGCCCCGGTAACGATTACTATAAGCTGCGAGTTGGTTGAAGCCTAAAGTTCTGCTGAAAATTCGATCAACCGGTGTATCGATCTACCTGCGTCCAATGAGTATGTGACCGTCTATCAACTTGAAACATTGCTGTTGGTGGGTTAGAACGTCCCAAAAGCGGCTTTCGTATCTTCGGCAACGAACTCGAGGACACTGAAAGCTCAAACAAACGTATAATTCCGGCGGTAAATTAACCTCCATAATCAAGCCATCTGTACTCAAGTATTCACCATTATTTGCATATTGCAGGCAATCATTAATCATGCCCTCTTTAAAGCATATAGCGAAAGAGAGGTTGCTTTTAACGAACAGGATATGGATAGCTAATAATGACCTGTGTTAAAAAATGAGCAATCAGGAAATACTGCCAGAAGTGCTGGAGTAAAAAAGATGGTCTAATCTGTGTACCTGTTCATCCAGCGTGGGACCGAGGTGGAAGATGGGTGTTTGCGTCTCTAGGGGTCCGTGACGAACACGTGGCTGGAAGCGGATGCGGACTGGGGCTGCGGGCAGAGCAATGTAAACCCGCATCAGTTGGGCCCATACGATGCCCTCCTCTGCCGTTGTCGCTCCACCAACTTCCCTGGCCACCGCCTCTCCGACGGCGGTAGTGGCAGTGCTTTCCGATGCTGTGGCTTTGGAGCAGCGACAGGGCATGTAAATGGGCAGATCACGGGAGAGAAGGGAGGAGACTGCCCGACGCACATCACAGCCCTGCATCAGGCCCACCATGGCGCGCTGAGGACCGGCTAGGAAGAATCGATGTCCCAGGCAGCATTCCATCTCGAAACCCACGAAGAGCTTAATTGTGTCAAAATCTGGCGCGTGGAGCGACGAAAAAGAAAGCAAAGGATTAAATGGGTAGAAACGCGAAGGAGCACGCCATCCATTTCCCTAATACTGGGTCACACGGATCTAGGCCGACCTTGGGTCAGTCATTAGTCGCTTCTGGTATTAAGGACATTGTCGCCAAGCAACCTGGTACTTATGGTTATCACTACTAAGGGACTAAGTCCTTTGAGCCTAGCAGAGGAGTGAGAATGTAGTAGCACAAGGAAGGACACTCATGGAAACCTTGAAAATAGCACAACCGCAAAG